AACAAGACAAATTTCAAAAAGGACGAACGGGTAACAGATCTGCCTCTGCCTCGACTGGCACCAGTTGCTATATGGAACCAAGTTTGTGAACTTCCAAAGTTTACAGATACTAGCAAAGCATGTAGAATTGAAGGATATGGGGTCACACATAATTGGACAAAAAGAAGTATATTTTGGGACCTCCCGTATTGGAAAGATAATTTGTTGCGCCATAATCTTGATGTTATGCATATTGAGAAGATTTTTTTTGATAACGTATTTAACACAGTGATGGATGTTAAAGACAGAACAAAAGATAATGTGAAGGCTAGACAAGACATGGAAATTTGGTGTAATCGTAAAGAGTTGGAATTGAAGCCTCAACCAAATAGAAAATTATTTAAACCCAAAGCTTGTTTCAGTCTGACCCCCCAAGAAGCTAAAGCGATTTGTGGATGGCTAAAAGGTTTGAGAATGCCTGACGGGTATTCTTCAAATTTAGCAAGGTGTGCTGATGCTAACACTAGGAAGTTGCACTGGGAAGTGAACCTATATTCATGAGAATTGTGTCTTGTAATTTTAGTTAACGAACCATTTATTGAATGATTTAATGAAATGTATTCATGAGAATTGTGTCTTGTAATTTTACTCAAAGAACCATTTATTGAATGATTTAATGAATATGTATTCATGAGAATATGTATATGTTAACTTGTATTTTCTTTAATTAGGTAAAAATGCCACCCAAAGATAATAAGGTAAAGGTCCTAGTGATAGTGGTAGGAAGCCCAGGCGTCCAAGGGTAGTAGTATGCCAGTCACCTCACTCAGCCACGTATCCTCCCCCGCAGAGTCAGGTTCATCATATGTCCATGGACAGTACTATGCCATTTACTCCATTACTATCATCTCAGAGTCCTCTTCAGTTCCCATCTGGGAGTAGATGTTTTATTAGTCCATCTGGGGCCCCACCTGGTTTACCATTCCAGCAGACACAGGTGCCCTCATCCTTCCAGCAGACACAGGTGCCATCCTTCCAGCATACACAGGTGCCATCCTTCCAGCAGACACAGGTGCCCTCATCCTTCCAGCATAGTTTTCCATTTCCCACACAGATGCCCTCATTCGTGCAGCAGCCTGGAGGATCCAGCACCCCACTTCCTACCCAGATGCCCCCATCCGTCCAGCAGCCTGGAGGATCCACCTCTTCATGACCCACACAGTCTGGTCGCACCCCCACATCCCACACAGAGTCGGACGATGACGATCTTGGTGGGGATGATGATCAGATAGATGGGAGAGATCTTCGAGGGGATGATGATTTGAGTGAGATTCATACCATTGATGGGAGATTTTGGATATGGCCTGAAGGGAACTCGTAAGTTTCTTATTTATTGATTTTTATTTATAAGTACACATTTCCATTTTTAATATAACTTTATATAATTAATTATGCTAATTCAATTATTGTTGTTTTAGTTTCGGGCCGAGTCGGACTGCGGCTAAGGTTATCAATTATATAATTCAGCAGAATTATACAACATTTTTGAAGAGTTTTAGAGAAGTTTCCGATAAAGAAGAATGGTTCAAGCAATTTCAGGTATAATTATTTTATTTCTTAAGTTATTTTTATTTAAATGACCTTTTCATTATTGTTATAATTTATCTAACTATTTATTTTAATGTCATACAATATTGCAGGCGAAATGTGTTTGGGATCCCCTGAACCATAACAAAGTAAAAAAAAATTATTTTGGGAGGAGTTCAAGACGACTTTCTGACATGCTACGACGTGTTAGAGAGAATTGACACCTTTTGGGCATTCGTCCCAAATGGATAGGCAAAGAAGTTTTTGAACAACTTCTTAAGTATTGGGAATCAGATGAATTTAAGGCTAAATCTGAAACTGCAAAGAAGATGAGGGCATCTGAAAAAGGGGGTTGCATTAATGCTGTTGGAAGTATTAGTACTGCTGAGCATGCTCGACGCATGGTAATTATTACCACTTTTTAAGGTCATATTTGGATTTATAACATATTATTAATTTAAGTTAATTTTTATATTTAGGCTAAGCGTTTGGGGAGACAACCATTGATGACGGAGCTGGTTAAGGAGACTCGGACAAAGAAATCAGGAGGATTTACTGACGAGCGCACAAAAAAAGCCCTGGTAAGTAAATTTATGTTTATATTTTTTTTAAAGCAATTTTGTGACGTGATTTTCATGTAGCAAATGACATGTTGTAGCGTGAAAATTGAGTGGCAACTGATAAGTTGTGGCGTTACAATCACGTGGCTATTTATTTTTTATTTATTTTTATTTCATATAATTTCATTAATGTTACTTATACATTAAACTTGATTTTTTTATTGTATGTGTAGGAGGATTATCAGGCGTTGCTTGTAGAGTTTCTGACCCATAATCCTCAGTATACGCCTCCTCCAGAAAAACCGGTTCACCCAGATGTAGATTTCTATATTTGGAGTCAAATTGTTGGGGGAAAGGGGCCTAACGGGTGTTTTTTTGGTGGTGGAAATTTGGCGGGCACCTTGAGGAGTGGGGATAGAAATCTGTATCAGAGAGCTGCAGACGGTGAAGGAGGGTCACGTCAAACAAATTTGACACCGGATCAGTTAGAACTGGTAAGACAATTGGCTAGACGCGAGTCCGAAGATCGTGAGGCGGCATTGAAGGCCCAAATGGATGCCCAAATAGATGCCCGAATGGAGGCAATGAGGGGTGAACATAATAGACAAATTGAGGCAATGGCGAAGAGGCAAGCTGATATGGAGGAGCAAATGCGACAATTTATGCAAGCATTTGGTAGAAATCCCAACAGTGGTGGCCAAAATAATAACCACCAAAATAATGATGACTTTCTTCCCGACATTTCCGACGACGATTCTGCTTAGTTTTATTTTTATTTTGTATTTAGTTTTTTATTTGTGTAATATAAATTTATAATGATATGGTATATTTAAAAATATTATAAATTTAAATTTGAGTTTATTAAATTTATAATATTAAGTATATTTATTTATACATTTAGATATATTTAGTTTTGTTTTTGATAATTTGATTAATAATATTATATTTAATAATTAAATTATAATATTTAATTTATAAATTTAATAAAACAAAAAATAATATTAATTATTAAAACATAATTAATATATTTAAAACAGAAAATATTTTTTTTTAAAATAAAACAAGTTGCGGCGTGTTTTTCATGTCACTAATTAGTGACGTGAAAAACACGTCGCTAAAGCTAACGTAACAAAAATTGTAAACCTGCTCTGACCCACTGCTTTGCTCTGCTCTGCTCTGAATTGCTTTTATCCTATACAGTATGTTGCGGCGTGAATTTCACGTGGCAACTTAGTGACATGTTTTTCACGCCGCAACAAGATTGTCACGCGCTATATAGCGACGTTTTCTTTAAGGTGGCAAAATTTTGATAGTGACGTGATTTGGTGGGTAGCGGCGTGGCTTTCACGTGACAAAACTCAACTTATTTTGTAGTGTAAATTCAGGTAATTTAACTAATGAAAAAACTTGAATACAATTTTTTAAGGGTAATTTTTATTATTTTTTTAATAAAAATATGATCTCACATTTATATATATATATATATATATATATATATATATATATATATATATATATATATATATATATATATATATATATATATATATATATATATATATATATATATATATATATATATATATATATATATATATATATATATATATATATATATATATATATATATATATATATATATATATATATATATATATATATATATATATATAATTTTCTTATTTTTTCATTTTTTAAATATTATTTAAATATATTTATCGTATTTTTATTAAAAAAAATAATAAGAAATTGTTTACCTAAGTTTTATACTGTAACAAAGTAATAAAAAAAATTACTATTATAAAGATAGTATAATTGTTGGTTCCATTTTAGTTGGTTCACTTTTAATTTAGCATATTCAAAGATTTATTGCTTTTTCTAAAAGACAAACAACAATACTTATTAATTAAAATTTTGATTAACTGATTAAAGGTTTACTTTTTTTAACATATAAATCATAAAGCATACAAAATAATCTAATATTATTTGAAATACAGTCAACATTCAACAATTATATGTACTAATAGATTAAAAATTAGATTTTTGTTTCAATATATCAAACATCAAAGATCTATTTTTTCCTCTAAAACCAATTTACCATACTAATTAATTTAATTTTTTAATTTTTTTCAACATATATAAATCATAAGAAATAATATTTTTAACACAAAGAACAATTAATAAATCGATTAAAAATAAAAATAAATAATCTATTATTTCATAATGGTTTATATATTAAAAAAATCAAATTTTAATGAATAAATATTGTTAAGTATTTTAGACAAAAAATAGATATTTGAATATGATTTATTAATTGAAAAACTCAAAATTTTAATTAATTAGTATATTTAATTGTTAATTGTGTTTCAAAAAAATAGATTATCTCTATGACTTACATATGAAAAAAAATCAATTTTTAAACTAATTAATATTATTAACTGTTTTTTAGAGAAAAAAATCTTTGAGTATGATTTATATATTGAAAAAAAATTTTAAAATTTATTAATATATATAATTGTTGATTGTATTTCAAAAAAATTTAGATTATTTATTATGATTTATATGTATAGAAAAAAATCAAATATTAAACCAATTAGTTTATATATAAAATATTTTCCATTTTTTAAATATTTATTTCTAATATATTTTTTTAGCATGTGCATTTTTTTTCTTATATTTTACTATAGAATAAATTAAATGGTTTAGATCTAAGATTAAAGAGGATTGAAAGAAATATAGAGGTACAGATCCAAATCTATGTTTAGGCCCATTTGCCAAAGAAATAAAGATAATCCTAGTATAAATAAGGGTAATTATTGGTTCCATTTTCATTCATTCTCTTTAAATCTTCCAAACTTGTAATCTATAATTACAATGTTGAAATCATTGGCATTATTCGTTCTCATTTTGTGCACCACACTAGTTGTAACTCAGTCTCAAGTTATTAAACCAAACAGTGCCCAAACAATACACAACACTTGCTTAGAGACTCCATATTATGAACAATGTATGAAGTACCTAACTGCTGACCCAAAAAGCTCCACCGCGGATGTGTATGGCTTAGCACTGATCATGGTGAATGTAATGAAGGACAAAGCAAACATTGGCTTAAACAAAATCAATCAACTTATTGCAACTAGTCCTTCCGATCAAAAGGTAGCACTTAATTCATGTGCGGAAAAATACAATGCAATTATCGCAACTGATGTTCCACAAGCAACCAAAGGCTTGCAAAACAAAAACCCTAAGTTGGCAGAGGATAGTGCAGTTCATGCTTCTGATGCGGTCGTTGCATGTTGGAAGGGCTTACCCGGAAATTCACCACTCATTGCAGAAAACCTTGTTATGAGAGATGCATCCACCATAACATCACATATTTGTAGACAATTGGTTTTAAGTGGTGGTATTTAATCAAAATGTTTCAATTATCATTCAATAAATAAATATTATATCTTATACTCATTTCTTCTTTTTTTACATGACACTATATTTAATCAGAAGAAACATTAAATATTTAAACCTTTTATATTTAATTTTAAAAAAATTATTATTTGTCCACAGTTCAGTTGATAGTTGCGTAAGAAGGTAAATACACTATTTATTTATTTATTTTTAATTAACTTAATTCTAACCACTAAACTACTCATTCAAAAAAAACTTTTTATTTATTTATATTTCCATATTTAACTATTATTAAAATAATTGACAGAACATATCTATATTTGGAACAAATATTGTACACTAATGAGATATAAAGTCAAAGAATATTTACATTGATTAGGCATAATTAGTTTCCTATTATGCAGATTGTAATTCTTGTATATAATACATGTTCATGATCAATAAAAAGGAGTGAAAAACATTTTCTTATATGGTATCAGAACGGTTTTGATCCATTTTTTTCTCTCTTCCGCTCCAAACAAATTCCTTTTTCTCTTCCACCATGTCTTCAACCTCCGAAAACTCTTCAAACAACAGCACCGGCACGGAAACGCCAACATCTCAACCTAAATTTCACTCTGCCTTCGCAATTACAAACGTGAAAACCATCATTCCAATCACATTAGATAATGATTCCAGTCTCTATCTCTCTTGGTCTGCTCTGTTTCAGGTTCAAGCACGTGTCCACAACGTCCTTGATCATATTATCCCTCCCACCGATGCGGCAACCCAACAAGAAGTCGCACAAACAAAGACCAATGATCCAAACCTCTGGAACCGTCTTGACGCTGTTGTTTTACAGTGGATGTATGCCACCGTTACCCAGGACATCCTTAGCTCTATCCTGGTGCTTAACGACACCGCCGAAAGCTGTTGGAAACGAATTGCTGCTATGTTTCAAGATAACAAGCATTCGAGAGCAGTCCACCTCGAACATCAATTCACCAACACGCACTTGGAAGATTTCCCGTCGACAAAAGCATATTGCAATCGCCTCAAACTCCTCGCAGATCAACTTGTAAATGTTGATTCTCCCGTCAACAACACTCGTCTTGTGTTGAAGATGATTTCTGGACTGACAGATTCATATGCAGGATTTGTCACATACATTCAGCAACACGATCCATTACCAACCTTTGAAACGGCGAAATCGCGATTGGAATTAGAAGAATCGACGATGGCCCAACGTACTGCACGCGAATCCAGCACTATCTCTTCTCCAACGGCCCTACTCGTGAAAACCCCAACCTCTGACAACTCCTCCACCTCTCCCAACGCGTTTTCCGCCCGAAATTTGACTGCAAACAATGGAAATCGCGGTATCAACAACAGAGGCAGAAACGGCAACCGAGGTAAAGGTCGAAGCTCCGGCAGAGGAGGACGTCACAACCACGGAGGGATGCAGTTCAATGGTGGTGGTGGACGCGGTGGCCCGAACTCGGGCTGGCAGCAGCAACCTCCTTCTCCGTATCCTTGGCAACAGTGGCAACAACAACAATATGCACCATGGGCTCCTCCTCCATCTCCGTATCCTTCTTATTGGCCTAGGCCCAATGCTGGCCCAAAAACTCAGCAAGCAGGAATTCTTGGAAATAGGCCACAATCTGCTGCCTTTGCTGCAACTGGGCCAAGCCCAACAGATATTGAAGCTGCTCTTCACACTCTCCATCTTGCTCAATCTGACCCATCATGGTACATGGACACTGGAGCAACATCTCATATGACATCCACACAAGGTAATCTCTCATCTTATTTTAATTTGAGCAAAAATAATAGTATTATCGTAGGAAATGGTCATTCAGTTCCTATTCATGGTTTTGGAAATGCTAACTTATCCCCCCCACACCCTCCATTAACTTTATCTAATGTCCTCCATGCACCGAAATTGATTAAGAATTTAATCTCTGTTCGTAAATTCACTACCGATAACCATGTTTCTGTTGAATTTGATCCATTTGGTTTTTCTGTAAAGAACTTTCAGACGGGGATGGTTCTAATGCGATGTGAGAGTCAAGGCCAACTATATCCCATCACCAACACAACAAAGAATAAACACATCTTTCCTTCTGAGTTTGCAGCTTTATCTACCTCTGTCTGGCACAACCGTTTGGGTCATCCAGGAGCATCTATTTTAGATTCTCTTCGAAAAAATAAAATGATTGAATGTGCTCCTAATTTACAGTCCACTTCAACTTTGTGTCCTTCTTGTCCTCTTGGTAAACATGTTAAAATGCCATTTATTGATTCGCAAAATTCTACATTCATGCCATTTGACATACTACATAGTGATGTATGGACATCTCCCGTATTGAGTACTTCCGGTCATAAATATTATGTGCTTTTTTTGGATGACTATTCGAATTTTCTGTGGACTTTTCCAATTTCACATAAATCTCAAGTTTTTCCAACCTTTGAAAAATTAAGAGCATATATTAAAACTCAATTTCAACTGGAAGTTAAAAATATTCAGTGCGATAATGGTAGAGAATATGTCAATAGTAACTTTCAAAAACTTTGTGAAGCAAATGGAATTTCATTTCGTTTCTCATGCCCTCATACTTCATCTCAAAATGGAAAAGCTGAACGAAAAATCCGTTCTATTAATAATATAGTTCGGACTTTACTCATTCATGCATCTTTACCTCCAAGTTTTTGGCACCATGCCTTACAAATGGCAACTTATTTGTTGAACATTTTACCAAATAAAAAGTTGAATTATCAATCACCTCTCAAAATCCTTTTTCAAAAGCATCCATCCTACTCTCATCTACGTGTATTCGGTTGTTTATGTTACCCTCTTTTTCCATCCACTACTATAAATAAACTCCAGTCTCGATCCACCCCATGTGTTTTTTTAGGATATCCTTCCAATCATCGCGGGTACAAATGTTATGATTTATCACAAAATAAAATCATCCTTTGTCGCCATGTCATATTTGATGAATCGGAATTTCCCTTCTCTAAACTACACACTACTAATCCGGAAAATTATCAATTTCTTGATAATGAATTATCACCTTACATCATAAATCACCTCATCACTCAACATGACCCATATCCAATGACACCGACCCACATCACTCAGCAACAGTCTCAAACCCATGACCAATCAGAACCGGCCCAAACTACCTCTCAATTGGCCCAAACTTTGCCATCCACATCTACTCCGCCAAATATCCCACTTCCTCCCATTTACCAACCTACCCTTAATTCTAACAACAAACCAGTTACGAGGAGCCAACATGGCATTTTTAAACCAAACCAAAAATACATCAATCTCCACACCGAAGTTACAAAATCTCCTCTCCCTCGTAACCCAGTGTTAGCACTAAAAGACCTAAATTGGAAAATGGCTATGGATGATGAATACAATGTTCTTATTCAAAATAAGACGTGGGATTTAGTGCCCCGTCCACCTGATGCAAATGTTATTCGTTCTATGTGGATTTTTAGGCATAAAGAAAAATCTGATGGTTCTTTTGAGAGGCATAAAGCCCGACTTGTAGGTAACGGTGCAGGTCAACAGGTTGGCATAGATTGTGGGGAGACCTTCAGTCCGGTTGTTAAACCAACCACCATCCGAACAGTACTCAGTCTTTCCTTATCTAAAGCATGGAAAATTCATCAGTTAGACGTCAAGAATGCTTTTCTACATGGTGAACTCAAAGAAACAGTGTATATGCATCAACCTTTGGGCTTTAAGGATCCAAATCATCCTCATCATGTCTGCCGTCTGCGAAAATCTTTGTATGGGCTAAAGCAAGCTCCAAGAGCTTGGTACAAACGATTTGCAGATTATGTATATTCTATCGGGTTTTCTCAAAGCAAGTCAGACAACTCTCTTTTCATCTACCGGAAAGATACACACATGGCCTATCTTCTTCTTTATGTGGACGACATCATTCTCACCGCTTCTTCTGATGATCTTCGCAAGTCTATAATATCACGACTCAGCTCTGAATTTGCTATGAAAGACTTGGGACCACTCCATTATTTTTTGGGTATTGCAGTTACTCGACATAATGGTGGTCTGTTCTTATCTCAGAAAAAGTATGCAGATGAAATTCTTGAGCGAGCAGGCATGTCATCATGCAAATCATGTCCCACTCCGGTTGACACTAAACCGAAGCTTAGCGCCAAGACTAGCACTCCCTATGAAGACCCATCATTATACCGTAGCCTTGCTGGTGCTCTCCAATACCTCACTTTCACGAGACCCGACATCACATATGCGGTACAACAAATATGTCTTTTTATGCATGACCCCATGGAAGATCACATGCACTCTCTCCGACGAATTTTGCGTTACATTCAGGGAACTAGTCACTACGGTTTACATCTCTATCCATCATCCACTACATCTTTGATTTCTTACACAGATGCTGACTGGGGAGGATGTCCCGACACTAGACGCTCTACTTCAGGCTATTGTGTTTTTCTTGGAGACAACTTATTATCATGGTCGTCTAAACGACAACCCACACTCTCACGATCCAGTGCTGAAGCTGAATATCGTGGAGTTGCCAATGTCGTCTCTGAGTCATGCTGGTTACGTAACCTACTCCTCGAGCTACATTATCTGATACACAAAGCTACTATGGTATACTGTGATAACGTAAGTGCCATATATCTTTCTGGTAATCCTGTTCAACATCAACGTACAAAACATATTGAGATGGACATTCACTTTGTACGTGAAAAAGTAGCTCGCGGACAGATACGCGTCTTGCATGTTCCATCGCGCTATCAAATTGCGGATATTTTCACCAAGGGTCTTCCCCTAATACTATTTCAAGATTTCCGAGACAGTTTAAGCGTACGTCAACCTCCCGCTTCAACTGCGGGGGTGTGACAGAACATATCTATATTTGGAACAAATATTGTACACTAATGAGATATAAAGTCAAAGAATATTTACATTGATTAGGCATAATTAGTTTCCTATTATGCAGATTGTAATTCTTGTATAT